CCCCACAACCACACGTCCGATATCATCATAAACTGGTGGTCGCGGCTGAAAAAGCATTAACTTTTGCCACATAATAATAACAGTACTGATAATAAGAATAATAATGGCACCAATAATGATAACAATAACAATAATAACAATAATAATAATAACAATAATAATAGTAGCAATAATAATAACAATAATAATAATAGCAGTAAAAAGGGTATTTACTTTGGCAGATTTAAGGATAATTGGTTTGAAGACCCCGTGTTAGTGATGTTATCAGTATGATCCGACATGCCGATGCAGCTATGCTAGGTCCTTTTATCCTGAGCTGCGCCTGTTCGATGGCATCCGACTTTACTTTTTCGAGTGGCATGCCACTCGTCCAATTGCTTATAGGAGCACGAAGAAATACTCTAATTTGCATTTTTTGCTTCATATTTTTCTTCGTCGCTACTAAAGTTCATTTGGAGATGTTACCGTATTCACCAGGAACGTAACGTGCAGCTTTTCGATGTGTAAAAAATGGAGTCCCAAGCTTCTATGTTAGCCCATGTTAGTCCTAATTGTTGCTTTCTCTTTGCGAAGACCCTTCCCGTCACGATTTTTTTCTAACAAGCTGTGGAATAAAAAATTTTTGATTAAAACCTTCTTGTTCAGGTTGTCCGGAAAGCTGCGGACAAAGTTGTTTCAAAAAAAAAAATCTTGGAAGCATAAGCAAAAATTTTGGAAGGCACAAACTTTTCGATAATCAGCGTACAATAATGCTAATTTACGCAAAACTGGCTCCAAAATTTCCGGATATTCTTCGACCAATTCCTCAAGTGAAAGCGATGCTGCTTTCCTCATAAAAGAAAGTTCCGCCGTGACGTCATCCAAAATATCTTCATACAAATTCCTGAAAATACGTAAAAAAGATTTCAAAATCACCAAAATCTATTCCCCATATTTCACTCTATCATTGTGAAAAATCGGAAGCAGCTGCCCGATAGCATCCGTCACCAATAACCACCCGCTGAAAAGTTGTCAGTGGATTGTCAGTGTCATCGAAATAAAATAGAACCATCTACGTCCAGCACAAAAATAGTGCAACATGTACTTTATCGCGTCTACAGGTATCGAAAAAAGAATACAACGACAGAATACAATGACCTAAGAATCCATATATCCAACAGAGATTTAGAAACAATGAAAGTGAAGTTCAACGTTGCTCATCGGGGACCGGGTTTGGCCTTATGGAGTGCAACAATGCAAATTTCTATCTAAATGGATAAACAAACCGCAGGGGGATTGATTACTTTACGATTTTCGTTACAATTCTTCCCTTTCCCCGTCCCTTCCCCTCCACCCCCTCCCATCCGTCCCCGTTCCTCTCCACCCTTTCTCTTTCCCGCTAAAATGTCAGGAGAAACAACAAACATTTATTAGCGTAAAATCAGACAAAAGAAGAAAAATAGCATACGGGATAGTAGAAAGCTCTTCGTTTTGCCAAATTTCATCAGCTAACGTGGCACATCGATCATCGGGATCATGCCGGGCAACAAATATTCGTCGAGTAAACAGTTTCATAAATGCTATTGCACTTTCGCACGATGATTTCATATAGCTGTTGTACAATGTATGCGGCTTAGAAAGCCCCTTGAATTAGTG